ACCCAGGCTCGGATGGAATGGGCTGAGGTCAGGCGCTGATATAGAATAGAGAGAGTGATTGGATGGGTGGGTAGGAGACCTGTAGTCTAAGGAGCAAGATGAAGAGAGAAGGGGTTATTACCTTATTATATGGGGCGAACGATTGGGATGCACGTCTTGTGAACAAAACTTTGCACGCGCACAGGTTCAGCGGCGCCGCTAATAGGATTGGATTTTTTTTTTTTCACCTTTATTTTATTTTTATGTTCATTTTTATTTTCATTTTCATTTTTATTTTCATTTTTATTTTTAATTTTAATTTTATTTTTATTTTTATTTTTTTATTGGATTGGAAATTTCCGGTTTGTGTTGTGGAGACTGACCGATGTGGGATGCAACTCCTTGGGATTTGTGCACCAAAGGCCGAACTGTCTCTTTTTTTTTGTGACGGTCACCAAAAAAAAAAAAAAAAAAAAAAACAAACAAACAAACAAACAAACAAACTGCCCGGTAAACCGTAGGTGGCAGAGAGGTAGGGAGAAGAGGGCAACAAACGAGGGTCTGTGACAAACTGCTTCCAAATCATCGGAGTTTCACCAAATGGACTCATCAGTGCTGAGAGCAAACAACACTTTGAAATTCTCGTTTCCGTTCGCAAGACACCGGGCGCTAAGGGGGGAAAAAAGAAAAAAACAAACAAAGAGATCGTCTTATCCGTTCCCAACTTAAGATCGATCGACTAGCAAGCCCACACGGGCACACACACACATACACACACAAACAAAAAAAAAAAGAAAGGAGGATCGATCGATTCGCAAGCCCACACGGGCACCCCCCCCACCCCGCACCCACCATGAGGTGCTCTCCATGAGCTATCTGATAAGCAATCAATTCCATGGCCGTTCGCAAAAAAAAAAAAAAAAACAAAAAAAAAAAAAAAAAAAAAAAAAGGATCGATCTATTGGCTAGATTGACAGCATCTTATCCACTCCAAATTAAAAGCCTTATCCATTACAAAAATTCAACGCACGAAAGATTGATCGACTCGCAAGCTACACGCCTCCCCACGACGCGATCTTTTCTTCTTTCATTTTTTTAATTTTGTATTTTGAACAATTTTCTTATTTTTTTATTTATTTATTTTCATTTTCATTTTCATTTTTATTTTATTTATTTCATTATTTCCTTATTTTATTTTTCTATTTTCATTTATTTATTTATTTATTTTAATTCATTTTTTTAGCCACGCGGCGATCTTCATGACATATCTGATCGCCATTCCATGCCCAGTCGACAAATCTCCAAGCGCTAGTAGATTGAGATCAACTTATCCATTCCAAATTAGAAAATATTATCCATTCCAAGTTAGAAACCTTATCCATTCCAAATTACAAATTACAAATCAAGTTAGCAAAGATCGATCAACCCGGAAGCTAAACACCCCAACAAGTCCTTCGGGACATCCGTTAAAATTGGAACGATACAGAGAAGGATAATTAACATGGCCCCTGCGCAAGGATGACACGCATAAATCGAGAAATGGTCCATATTAAAAAAAAAAAACACCCCAACAATTCGTTTCTCAACCCCTTTTGGCTAAAAATAGATAAAGTGTAGTAGTATCTGTTCTGATCAGTTTTTTAATATCTGATCCGTGCGTGGTCCATCGGACTACACTTAAAAACCAAAAAAAAAAAAAAAAAAAAAAAAAAAAAAAAAGCACGCGTCACAAAAGATGCCCCAACCGCATGGTGTGGCTAAGCATGCACTACCTGATGGCGATTCTGTCTCTCTCTTTTTTTTCCCCTTTTTTTTTCTTTTTTCCCCCTTTTTTCCCTTTTTCCCCCCCCTTTTTTCCCCTTTCTTTCCCCTTTTTCTCCCCTTTTTTTCTCTTCTTTTGCTTCCCTTTCTTCTATCTCTTTCCAGAAAGTGTTCACACCACTTGGAGCCTCGCTCCCCCCCCGGTAGTCTCGATTTAACGGATGTCCCAAAGGACTCACGCGCTTGATTGACAATTTGTAATACCCATTACAAATTCTTATCTTGTCCGTTACAAATTATCTTATCCCGTATTACTCTTTGGGGCATTTAACTTGGACGTACCTGGCCGCAATTTCGGCCTTTTTCTGAACCGAAAACGTCAGGTCCCACTAGCGGGGGAACCCGGTAAAGCGCTGAAGATTTCGGTTCCAAAAAAAGGCCGAAATTGCGGCCAGGTACGTCCAAGTTAAATGCCCCAAAGAGGTAAATACGTAATTACAGATTTTTTAGAACTTACAAATTCAAGGGAAAAGGATCACATCTATCGACTCGTTGTGCTTTTTTTTTTTTTTTTTTTTTTTTTTTTTTGGGAACTTAGAAATTCAAAGAAAAAGGAAGATTGATCGACGACTGGTAAGAGCCACACGCCGCACCATAAGGCAAAACCTTCATGAAATGTCTGATGCCGGTCCCATTCCCGTCCCGACACACAATCGGGACTAAGGATCGATGACGGTCGTCAGATCGGCCGCGCCGTCGTAAATATCCAGGTGTATCATCTATCATTGGGGCATCCTTTTTTTTTTTTTTCTTTTTTCAAAGGGCGACGGCCTCTGTCTGGATACCATCATCGATCTGAGCGGCCTCAGGTAATCGAGAAAGATACGATTCTGTTTTTTTTTGTTTTTTTTTTTTCAGATTCTGGTTTTCGGTTGCATCCTGGGGGCACTTTTTGCTTTTACGACTCTTGCTACCCTTTGCCCGCACGTAATCAATCTGTCGTTCGATTCACCTTTCGGCCAATCAGTCCGGTTTTTTTTTTTTGCGTCGACCAATCAAATGATCGACACGTGGACACACGAATTAAAACCAGATCGTCGACCGCCACGTCTATCTATCCTGAGGGCACTTTTTGCTTTTCGATCGTCGCTACCCTTATATATATTGTCACATGAATATCAGAGCGCAAATGCGAAAAAACGAAAAACAGGAAAAAATGAACTCAGTTTTTTTTCTTCTTCCTTATAACTCCCCCTGTTCAGAACCTCTTTTGCGTACAAGGCCGCCCACGTGCACATCCCTATCACCCAGATGTACGTTGTCCTTTCTGTTCCCAAGGATGCTATCAGAACTGCATGATGCCGCACTGTGACGAACGTCCTGCTGTTTTCTTGACATGTGGGCAACATGTCCTATGTCGGGAGTGTTTCGATGGGATGGTTCGTGCTAGCCGGCCGGCTGAATGCTGCACTAACGCAACTCTCCTTGGGTATCCCTGTGAACATCCCCGTCATCCTCACCGTAGTTGTCCTATCTGCCGAGGGGGTGACAGATGAAGTGTAGAAGAAACAGATAAAAAAAGAAACCGAGTAAAAAGATAAAAAAAGAAACCGAGTAAAAAGATAAAAAAAGAAACCGAGTAAAAAGATAAAAAAAGAAACCGAGGAAAGAAAAACACAAAAAAAGAAACCTGAGAAAAAAGAAAAAAGAAAAATATGTTCTGTGGGATGGTAATTGGATTATCTGTGGGATGTGTACTTGCTTCGTCTGTTTAATAGGCTTTCTTCTTCTGTGAGGTTTGGTTTCCTCCGCCTTTTCTTTACCTCTTTGCCTTTTGCTTCGTCTGTTTAATAGGCTTTCTTCTTCTGTGAGGTTTGGTTTCCTCCGCCTTTTCTTTACCTCTTTGCCTTTTGGCTGCGTGCAAGTGGGTCCTTGTGACACACGGGGATGGGGGCAGCCAGCGCTCAACCTGTCATCCACGTGGCTGGCCTTGTACGTAAGAGGTTAAGAACCGGTGGAGCTTTCCTTACCTCTTCTTCTCCCCCTTTTTTCTTTTCTCTTCTTTTCTTCTTCCTTTTTTTCGCTTCTGCGCTCTGATTCACAGTGTGACAATATATATATCGTCAAACACAACTGCCCGGTAAACTGTAGGCAGAGAGGGAGGAGGGAGAAGAGGACAACAAACGAGGGGCTGTGACATATATATAGATAGATATATAGATATGTATATGTGTACATGGAAATATGCCCGCACGTAATCACTCTGTCGTTCGGTTCACCTTTCGTCCGATCAGTTTGTTCCTGCATCGACCAATCAAACGATCGACACATGGACACACCAATCAAAACCAGATTCTCGATCGATCCGTTCGTCGATTGACTCCACGTGACGTGTATGGATAAGATCAAAACAGTGATCGAAATCCAGCGATCGATTGAGAGATCGAGAAGAGAAGAGAAAAGAAGGGAAGAGAAGGGGAAGAGAAGAGACGTGTGGGAGAGTAGAGGGGGAACCCAGGATGAGATAAACAACAGCTGGCAGAACAGCTGGCAAGCCGTAAGAAAGACACCATGGACAAGAACGGAGAAGACGCAAAAAGATGACACGTGGACACGCAAGGAGCGCCGATTGTATGCGAAACCAGAGGGGGGTAATCGCTAAACCTTTCTTTTTTTTTCCATTTATTTATTTTCGCTTAACCGCTAACCTTTCGATCCCCTCATCGAGCTCCAGCTGTAATCCCATTAAACAAGTATTACTTCCCTCCCTCCTCAATCATTTCGCTACGGACCCCTACCCCCCCCCCCAAAATAAGGCGGGGCAAAGTGAGGCGGGTGGCGCGGGGGCGAAGGGGAGCGGGGCGTGCGGAGGAGACGGGTTAGGGGGGGGAAGCCGGGGGAAATCATTTCTCATGGCTCCTTGGTTCCACTCACGCTGACGACAATATGTTTCAGCTAACCTGGCCACCGCCTAGGACTAGATTCCTTTTACTTAGCACGGACAAGCAACCTGCGGGGAAGAATGAAACTACTTGTTCCTCATATGCATTGCTTCGCCCGTGCTAAGTGAAAGGAATCTGGTCCTATATGAAACTACTTGTTCATTATATGCATTGCTTCGCCCGTGCTAAGTGAAACTACTTGTTCCTTATATGCATTGCTTCGCCCGTGCCAGGTGAGCTGAAACAAATTGTCGTCGAACTCTCAGACTCGAGGGTTGGGTTCGTAGGGCGACGGGACGGGCGGCGACAGACACCCACCAGAGGCGACCACCATAGCCTGCTGCTTTTCCAAAAATAGAAGCCCCGACAGCTGCGCGACGAGCAAAAATACTAGTAATAGCAGGCGAGCAAAGAGTCGTTCGCCCGCCATCGCTGAAACCTTCCGTATGCCGTACGATTAATCGATATGCGATCGGCGATCGGCGATCGTCAGATCGTCTGATCGGCCCACAGGAAGCCAGTAACAATTAATACTACCCCAAATCTAGCGACTTCCCAGTCCCGATGCCCTCACCCACCCGCAAAATAGTGAATCGAAAGACTCTTTATGACACAAATACCGTCATCCCTACGCTTCTCTCTCTCTCTCTCTCTCTCTCTCTCTCTCTCTCTCTCTCTCTCTCTCTCTCTCTCTCTCTCTCTCTCTCNCTCTCTCTCTCTCTCTCTCTCTCTCACACACACACACACACACACACACACACGTGTCACACCGCCATCCTTACGCTTCTCTCTCTCTCTCTCTCTCACACACAAACACACACATACACACACGTGTCAGTACATAACGATATTCACGCGACACAAGTCAAGTCGACTCAGCTCGACTAAGCAGGCAAAGGCCAATCTCGTCAGGGACCCCAATTGGCTCCTGCCACGTGGACGCCCCGGGTTCGTGCACCGACGGACATGCAAGTTCTCACACCGTCCTCTCGCATCGTGGGACCGACGGCCTCCCAAGTTTCTATCAGTCGCACTTTCACGCGGAGATGCCCAACCCCCGGCATCTCCAACGGGCGTCTATCCTGTGGGAGATCACTCTGAACCTGTCCTTGATCGAGACCGGGTGCATGCTAAGGTACGTTGAGTTAAGTGAGCATTGACCTGCTCTCGGCGGCACTCGGCCCCGCAGTGGGGGCCACTGGGCGCCCCGATTGCAGAGTCGTCGGGGTTTCCTTTGTTTTTTTTTTGAAAGAATTGCATCTGTACCCCCAGTCCCAGCCCCAACTTACATCTATACCTCGAACCCGTTCAATTTTGCATAGTACCCAACTTTTCCCCTGTGCGAAATTGTGGACGTACCCACCAGAGCACGAGATTATGCTCATGCCCGGAAACCGGGCTGGCAAAATTGTGGGTGTACCCACACCCAGTAGCGGGCCTTGAATGGCGCACCATGAAACTATCCTTGTGCCCACCAACTGGACCGTTGTGCCCCAAGGGCTGCTGGGTATGAGGGTAATTGCAGCCAGCCAGTGGTTGGGTATATGAATAATTTGGCCGGTCCACCTCAGTCAGTCCTGGGTATGCCCATAATTTTGCCTGGGTATGTCCATAGTTTGTGCATTCCAGTACTTGGTCATAAGCGCAATTTTTTGCGGTGCCAACCTGGGTCCATGTCGGTCCTGGGCATGCAAATAATTTCCACCGGCCGTTTTCCGGGTATAGATGGCGCTGGGACTGGGTATTCCCATGTTTAAGTAGGTTACAGGTGCAATTTTTCCAAAATTATTTGCATGCCGAGGACTGAGGTGGACCCAGGTTCGTATCGTTAAATTGTCGTAACTACTGCAATGCACAAATCATGGTCCTACCCACGCAGAATTATGGCATACCCGGGACTGAGGTGGACCGGCCAAATTATTCATATACCCTTCTACCGGATGGATGAAAATGCTCATAACCAGCAGCCTTTGGGCCAAAACGGTCCACTTGGTGGGCATGAGCATAATTTGGTGGTCAGCCACCCAAGGCCAGCCACTGGGTGTGGGTACACCCACAATTCTGCCAGCCCAGTTTCTGGGAATGAGCATAATTTCATGGTGCAGAACTAGGGGTTTGCGGGATTGGGAACACCTACAATTTAGCACAGGGGAAAAGTCGGGTACTACGCAAAGTTGAATGGGTTACAGGTATAGATGTAAATTCGCACTGGGACTGGGTATAGCAGGTATTACCATCTTTAAGCGGGGTACAATTGCAATTCTCCCATTGATTTCCACCGGGCGTTTTCAGGGTACAGATGCAAGTTGGCGTTGGGACTGGCTATAGCGGGTACTGCCATCTCTTTTTAAATAAGTAGTGGTATTTCATTTGAGAGCTCCCACTCATTCTACATCTTCAGAGCAGAACAAGAGTCAACCTCAACAGGGTCTTCTTTCCCCTATCTACCATCATGCTACACCACAGTCAAGGAACGGACGCTGGATAATTTCTCGATTTATGCATGTCATCCTTTCACAGGGGTATCGTTTCAATTTCAACGATTGTTCCAAAAAACAACTTGGACCATTCTCAATTTATGTGTGTCATCCCTTTCCAGGGGCCAGATTTATGCGCGTCATCCCTTCGCAGGGGTCACACTCATCTTCTTTGTATGCCAACAGGCTTAGTTTAGTTGGTTTTGCTGCTATGGTGATTTTGCTGTTCTATGAATGTCAGTTTTTGAAGATTGTCTTTCGGCCAACTGAAATACTAAGCTCAGTTGTTAGACCTGTGAATTATTGGTATACAGTCGAAGTTCGCATCCAATTTTTGTTTCTCTTCTTCTTGATAAAACTACGGTGCAATTAAGGTTTGAGTTTGAAAATGCACTTCAGGCAAAATGCCTAAAAATGTCAAATGCATACAAGCAAGGTTTCAGGCCCAGTAGGGTCACGTGGGGGTGTATTATCTTCGAGGGGAAGTGCATTTTCAAACTGTTTTCGTGACTGCGCTATAGTTACCTTTTTTTTTTTTTTCACCCATCACTATCTTTCTCGGTGTTGGAAAAAAAAGGAGATATGAAAAGGTGTGGGGGGACCGGACCGTCTGGCGCGGTGTTAGCACTCGAGGCCTAGTCTGTTGTCTCAAATTGCTCGAGTAGTCTGCCCGGTAACTAACTTGCATGCGTCGTGCAAGTTATTGGTACTTACCGCCATTTTTATCGTGGTTTTCACCGCGGCAACGTACTTCGCACGGTACACGACAGTCTGAGGAAGCCATAGCTAAAAGATTGAAATAAGCTACAACAATGTACAGTAACTAACTTGCACACGTGGTGCAAGTTACTGGTACCAACAAACAGTTTTATCGCGGTTTTCACCGTTGCAACGCGCTTCGTACGATACGTGACAGTCTGAGGTAGCCACAGGTAAAACATTGGAATAAGCTACAACAGTCTATGTAGTGGAGTGGGTGGTAAGTGTAGAGCAGTAGTTTCCTCATGCATGAATTTAAAGGAAACAGCGAGTTGAGTGAGCGGTAACTATGAGGAGCGCTCATTAACTTCGTGAGAGTAGGTGTGATTTGTTGTTCGGTACGATAAGTTAAGTCCAACAAAAACGGTGGAAGCCGATGAGTAAGGGTGACGTATGCGCAATCGAGTTCAAGCTTGGTGGAGGTGAAGGTTTCAAGATGCCAACCACTTAGATTGTAGTGGATGTAACAACGAACTTGAAAGATATTTACCAAGTTAATGTTGCACTCAAGACAATAATTTTTCAAGGTCTTGATTTTCTGCAGTTGGTCCGGTTGTTACTTCATATTCACAAAACGTACTGCCTTCCCATTTCGTACGAAAATGTGTTGCTAAGAGACGTGTTAACGAGGTTTCATGCTCTCCATATTGTGCAGGTTTCCGTAGTAAGTTGACAGTAATACCTAAGGGTCAGGTATACTAGGAAGGTAGTACTAGCCGGCCTGGTCAAAATTTTATATTTTGTATTCACAGTGATCGATATTCGGCTTACCCTATTTTGCTAGTAATGTGTTTTTTCATTATACTTTTATTCTCTGTAGGATCACGTTGGTTAACTATGGTTCACTTATTATAAGTAATCGTTGGTTCACTTATCGTAGTATTTTTCTTGGGTTAGGACAAATAAGTTTTGTTGAGAGGCGTTTCATAAGTTGGATCCAAAATGTACAACACAATGTTAAGCATCTCAAACACCCCTTTATATCATCTATGAGGTCACCAGAGTTAACAAAAAACATATGTGGATATGTTGTAGTGTACTTCAAAGACATTATAGCCTTGAAAAAACCAGGTGAGAGTCGAGGTACAACCTCTTAAATCTTTTAACATCGGGACAACACGACTGCAAAACTTCGACCATGTGATAAAATCAGGTTAGATGATCTGCTAAATTGAACGTGGTTGCAGAAGCGATGGCAAAAGGAAAAACACCAGGGAGGGATGACCTGCCAATAAAATTTTACTTGCAACATTGACAAAGTTAATCCCCTCACCTGCTACAAATGTACAATGTGGTGTTCACGGGAGAGCAAATTAGTGCATAAATGTCGTATGGTATTAGTTCTGTTATGTACAGAAAAACAAAAGCAGATATTGCAAATTGGAGACCAATTTTTTTGCTCAATGTTTCTTGTAAAATTTTTGCAAAGACCCTAGCTAGACGATTAACATTGTGCCTTCCACACTTGGTGGGAAAAGAACAGGCCACATTTATCCAGGGCATTAAAGATTTTGATAATATTATTAGAGCGTAAGAGTCCCTGAAGGTAATTTAGAAATGAAACATGGAGCTTGCATTCCTCCTAGATTTAAAGAAGGCATATGATAGACTAAATTTGGCTTACTCAATCACAACTTTGAAACACTTGGGCTTTGACCCAAAGTTAAGGCAAACAGTGATCAAATCTTCTAGTTACTCCAAGTCATCGGTCATCATCAATGGTAAATTTTGTAACCCTTTTTTTTTCCTTCTCACTCTGACAAGGCTGCCTGTTAGCCCTACTAAATTTTATTTTACAATCGGACATTTTAGTAAATAATATCATACTCCACTATCAGATCGAAGGGTTGCATGTTCACCAGAGTGAATGAAGGGTAAAAATATTGACAAATGTTATGTTGACCATCTCTGCGAACATGTCATCTTCACTCAATGCACTCAAAGGATGTTTGACTGAAACTGTTTGAGTGACTACTCAAATTTATTTGAGGTTGCGATCAACTGTAGAAATTTGTGCATTTTCTCTCAAAAGAGTACGTGATATTAGTCGATTTGGATATGAAAGGAATGCATAAGATTCCTATGAATGCTATCTGGAAGTCCAAGTGACTTTGTGTAATTGTATTGAGGTTCAGCGTGATCTGTTACAATAAAAAATTACCCCTAGAATCTCCAGGTGCGGAACAACCCCCCACCTATCACGTTGGTAGGCGCAATTTTGAATGTTGTGTTAGTCTTCTTATTATGGTGCGTGGGCAAGTTGAGGCTACTTGGTAACCAATTATTCAAGGTCGTTAGAAGGGCGGCTGCAAAATTTGTTTGGAAAGTGTTTTGGAAGCCTGGATGAAGGATTTATTTATAAAGTCGCTTGGGAAAATATATGCACCCTGCGGCAGGAAGAAGGGTTAGGCATTATTGATTCATACAAGGAGAATGTGGCTATGTTGGCACAATGAATAGTTAAAGTTGTCGTATCTTAAAAAAATGACCATTGGATTCTATTGCCAAAAGTCATATTTGCGGAGGAATGATAGTTCTCAAGGTATGAAGATGTCTGGGTCTGTTGTATGTTATAATAATATTTGAGGGGACAACAAAAATTCGTATTTTGGTAAGGGGTGTTGAATGAATGAAAGAAATTCAGGCCTCGACTCTGGATTCAGCATGTGACAAAAGCACAGGTCTTACAACAACCTTGCTCGGTAACTTGGTGGTCACCAACGAGGAAGAAAGCTCCTTTGCGGCAATGTGGAGACAAAAAAAAATTTGAACATTAAATTTTGGAATATT